TATATATATATATATACATATTTACACACAATTATGCAACATCAAATTTATGACCATATTTTTCCTTATTAAAATTTACAACAACTCACGTATCTACTCAGCTGACTCGGTTAGATTCCTTGATTATTGAATAACATTGAATTTTGCATGCAATATTTTTCCTAAATTTACCGAAACAAGGGAATTACTAAAAATTAATCGGAAATGGGTTTGGCGCGCTTATTGCAGAGGATTGAAATGCCCTGCTTGTAGGGAGGTGTGGATGATGATGTATTATTTTAACAAAAAATTATAATTATTTTTGTCCTATTTTTTTTAAGGTTAAATTATAATTTTGATCTCTTTATTTTCATTAATTTGTAGTTTGAGTCTTTCAATTTTAATATAAAGGCATTTAGTCTCTTTAAAATTAAAAATATGAAGTTTTGATTCTATCAAATTAACATCTATTAATTATTAAATTTTAAAATTTATTTATATTTAAGTAACATAACATATTTAATATTATAATATTTAAAGATAAATTTTTTAAAAATATATAAAAATAAGATTTACTAATAAAATAAATATCAATTATTTGTTAAAATATATATAAAAAAATTTGTTAAATGTTATTTTTAATTTTTAAGTCCTCATGTTATATCACTAAATATTACTTAAATAATGGTATGTTATTGAACATCAAAATTTAACAATCAATAAAGTTTAAATTAATAATAAAACTAAAACTTTTTATTTTTTAAAATAAAGAACTAAATATCTCTAATGTAGAAGACTAAAATTATAGATTAAAAAAAAAAAGAACTAATACAACAAATGATCTTTTTTTACACCTACAATCAATCCGTACACCCTTTTTCTAAAAATAAATAAATGATCTAATTGAAGAAAGCTTCCCAATGAAGTACTTATAAGAAGAAGAAAAAAAGAATTTTTTTTGTATAAATTAAAATTAATTTACACATAAATTAATTAATTATATATATATATATATATATATAACAATTTATATATAAGTTAATTTTAATTTAATAAAAAATTTATTTCATTTTTCTTTCTTATTTTACTCTCAATTTTTTGTAACAAATATATAATTAATCACAATTTATAACTCTTATTTTAGATCTCACAGGAGTCACGCACCCCAATTGAAGTTTGTTTTGAAAATCTGAAAATCTGAAAATCAGAAATTAATAAATTATAAGGATGAAGAAACAAACCAGGAATCCCGTGGTGGCAGGGTGAGAACCGTTGATTAGCTTTTCCATCGCCGGTGCACTGCGAAACGACACAACATCGTTACTTCACTCTCCGTTCTCTTTCCACAACACATGAAAAAATCATCCAATCATACATACCTGAACATGTTCGAGAGACAACCTCCGAGCACCGCCATGGTCGCAAATATCAAAAACCCCACGAAATGCCTGCACCAAAATAATAACAAACAAACAAACAAACAAATAAATAAATAAAAGAATCGCTGTAAGCGTTTGCATGCATAGCATAAACAAATGAAAAAATTGCTCACGTCCAAACATTTAGCGTTTCGTTGTGCCACATGAAGACGCTCAACAATGCATCCTTCACCGACCATTCCGACCGGTAATGGTCCAAGATGAACTCGTTGTCTTTCAGGTACGCCGGCAACTCCTCGAACGTCACCAATCGTCGGCCCATTCTCTTTTTGTTCCCTCGCCGGCGATGACCGTTCATCAAACGCTCGCCGGAAAATCCCTACCTTGGTTTTCCGGCGAGAGAGTCGCCGGCGCTTTCTTTTCTCTCTCACCCCTTAATCTCTTTCTTCCTCCTCCTATTTATAGGCAACGGGTACGTGATAATGCCATCTGAAGTGTGAACCATTTTCTTTTACTTAAAAAAATCATTGGTTGTTGACGTGTAGTAATAGAATTATGGGCAAATTTGTTGCGTGGCGGGTATTCATTCTCAAGGAATTTTTTTTAATCCAAAGTTGATTATCAAGAATAGTGCTCATAATGTGATTTTACTGCTTATATATTATTTTAATAAGTTAAATCAAATTTAGGATTATCAGAGGAATCTCTTATATCTCAGAAAGGATTTTCCAATACGAGGATAAAAGACTTGATAATTAGGTATAAATGTGAAAACTATGATTGAAGGTATAAATGTGTTTTTTTGTTGTGGCTTAAAGTTAAATCTAGTGACTCGTTATATATGGTTTTAGATTAACGAAGGAGGAATCACGTTTCGTGAGAAGGTGAAGAATGAGGATTTTGTGAACGAAGAAAATCGGATGAAGCAAAGCTAAATTACAAAGTTGGTCTGAAAAGCATGATGCTATATTTTAAGTCATGACTCATGCAAAATCACGTGAGTATTATTAATCCATTTATGTTTCTTTCTTTGTTTTTCTTTTTCTTCTTTGCTTTGGTTAAATCATATACTTCGGTGAAAATATTTGGATAAAATTTCTATATTTAAAATTTCGTGTGTTTGGATAAGAGATTTTAAATGAAAAAAGTAATTTAAGTAAGAATTTATTTATTTTTGACAAAATATTGTGTTTGGATATTTTATTAAGCGGCATTTAAAATTTTAAGACATTTAAAATTTTAAGACTTTTAATTGATTAAAAATTTAAGATTTTAATTTTCACATAAATAAAGAACTTTAAAATTTTTTTGATGGAAGAGCCGATCAATGGACCCATTAGTAGGATCCAAGAAGATTAGGTACATAATAAGGTTAGTAGGCCTAAAATTATCTTGAATTATAGATTACTAAATATATAAGCTCAATGTCCTTTGTGTATTTGTGTATTTCTTAACTTTTTGGCCTTGTATTTTTAGAGTAAATAAAGTGAAAATTTTTCATGCAATTTTCTTTGATGTGTAATTTTGAGCTTAGGAAGTGCAACTTATTTTTGGGCCAAGTATTAACAATTGTATTGAAGTAGAATATACATGTGACCGTCAAAAGTCGCACACATAGTGTCATTTAAATTCAATTCAAATTGTTAATCACATGGCTGCAATTTATAAAAGGTGTATTGAATTAGAATTTAATAAGACTATTTTAGCACAAGATTTTTTGTGGATTTTTACAAGATTTATAAGAATTGATCACTTTTAAGATTTTTTAAAAAGACTTTGTAGGAATATAATGAATTTTAAAAAAATTTAAGAGACTTTTATTATCAAGATTTTGTAATATGAATTTAATTAATTTATATCTTAAGAATTTATAGGATTTGAAAGGATTTTATGAGATTTCAAAATAAAATATAAATTTTTTAAAAATACAATTACTAAAAAATAACAAAAATGATAAGTTTTGAATAAAGAAGAATAAAATCAATAAATGTTTTCAATCTCTTAATAAACAATTGATTCTGGTTTCATGTTCTTCTAAGTAACATTTCCTTATATACAACTCTCTATGCATTTATATTTTCTCATTCATGCTATTGAATTTGAACAATATGTTCAAATTTATGATTTTTATAAATGAGTAGAATTTTCAAAATATATTTTTAATATATGTTTATAAATTTGATATTTTAATATTATTTTTTTGAAAAAAAATATTTGTTAAATTTTAATAATTTAAAAACTTTAATAATAGATAATATGATGAAACTAGTGAGAAGATGTTGGAGATTTCTGCTCAACAAGCTTTATTGATGCTTCTATCTTCACCCTTGGACTCCAATGCTTCAAAGACAAACAAAAAATGGGGAAAAACGTGTCGGAACCCAAAAGATTTTGATCTTATTCATAGATGGTTTGGACTTTCGTTTTGAAAATCTCACCGGTTAGGGAATGCCCGGAGACCAGACTAATCCCTAACCAACAGGTTTTGAAAAATGGTCGAAGGAGTCGCGCTCGCTACTGATATTTTACTCAAAATATCAGAAAAAGAAAAGATTTTGAAATTAGAATAAAGACCTTCATAACCAGAATTGGATTCGAGAGTCAGTTATGTATAGGGAAGGTGTTAGACACCCTACAATGCCCTAAGTTGGATGATATTATCATAATAATAAATAATATTTTAAATATCTTATCCCATTTTATTATTTAACATTATTTACGTGACGAAAAATACCTATTATCTATATGATTATTTATTGACATATAATAATTATAAATAAAATAAATAAAATGATAAATAAAGAAATAAAATAATAAATAAAATAAATAAAAAGAATAAATAAAAGAGAATAATTTAGAACTTCTGAAACAAGCTTTTTATAAGGAAATCTTCCCAAATGCGTGCGGGGCGCGTTTTGGCAACCCTTCGCTCTACAAAATCCTCACTATCACTTAAAGATTTATAGAAAGGGGGGGGGGGTGGGGAAGCTATGTAACTTTTCGGTTCTCTAATCCCTCGGCTAGAGGGTTTCTTATATAGTCAACTAGGAGACAGAAGCATTAGAGAGCTATCCAATGTGTGACTAAATATTATAAAAATACAATCGTTTTCTAGGCATCATGCAAGACCTCTAGAGAACTCGTTAACCGTCGGATCGTGTTGGTTGTTTTATGGTATCCTTATAATATATTTATCTTCAATCTCAACGGTTGGATCGTCCAAATTATGTCTGTAGTGAGAGATAATATCATATAAAAAAAATGTTGTCTGGTATAAGACTCATATTTTCCAGCTACAATGTGTGGCCTCTAGAGAAATCATTAACCGTTGGATCATGTTAAAACTTTGATGATATCTTCTTAATACATTTATATTTAACTTCAACGGTCAGATCGTGAAAATTCAGTCTTTAGTGATAGATATTATCAAAACAAAAACGCTGCCCAATGCAAAATTTTCTAGAAAGGGGAACGGGTCGTTCCAACATTGGGAACGACCCATTCCAATTTGAGAACGATCATTCTTCACTTTGGATCAGTTTTTCTGAGTTTTCTGGGCCTTCCAAAGCCATCTTGGCCCGTTTAGGTGCTCTATTGGGCCCTTAAGAGCGTACGTGCTATTTATTTTCCAGCTACAATGCGAGGCTTCTAGAGAATTTGTTTACCGTTGGATCATGCTGAAATTTTGATGATATCTTCTCAATACATTGATGTTTAACTTCAATGGTCGGATAATCAAAATTAGGTCTGTAACGAAAGGTATTATCATGACAAAAATGTTACCCAACACGTTGGGCTCCTCAAGGGCTGTTTGTCTCACTCTAGTAAACCTTTGTCCTTGGTTTGGGTACCCCGGACAAAATTGGCTGTCTATAGCTGCCCTTTTTTACTTGTCCTTTGGATGGCTAGATGTTGCTTGTCCAAAGCCAAGTAAAGACATAGACGTTTCGTTTGGGTTTTCTCTTTGCTTCTTTGCCCAAGTGCTTCCACATTGCTTCCTTTAGATAGATGAGTTTGCTCGTATCCTTGCTCTTTAGAGTAGCTAAGTGTTGGGTTTCATGCTCCATTGGAGAATAAGGATGGCAAACTGTACCACCTGATATTCTATCTTCATGTAGATGCTGTATGCCATTTCTTCTAATTCCTTCCCTATGATGGTGAGTGTTGGGTTGTGCACTCCATTGGGTAACAAGGGTGGCAAAATGTACTCCTGATCTTCTGTCTTTGAGTAGATGCTCCATGCTGATTTTGCTTATTTTGTGATAGTGTGATCCTTATTCATAGCTCACTGAAGAGGGAGTATGTTCTAAGCTTAGCCTCTTTAGGCTGGACTGATATTGAGACTTCAACCGACCTATGGTGGAGAACTCAACGGTGATCCCAATTTTGACTTTGAGGAACTCGGCGGTGCCCTCGTTGTCACTCATTGATTTGAGGAGCTCGACGACGTCTTTCAATCAATATGAGTATTGATGTCCTTTGTAAAGTTGGACCTCAGAACCTTTGGATGCATACTCAGTGGTGATCCTAGGTTTGACTTGAGGAACTCAGTGGTGCCCTCATTGTCGCTCACTAATTTGAGGAGCTCGACGACATCTCTCAATCAAGATGAGTATTGACGTCCTTTGTGAAGGTGGACCTCGAAACCTTTGGGTTGATACTCGACGGTGATCCTCGGTTTGACTTGAAAAACTCGGCAGTGCCCTCGTTGTTGCTCACTGATTTGAGGACCTCGACGACGTCTCTCAATCGAGACGAGTATTGACGTCCTTTGTGAAGGTGGAGCTCGGAACCCTTGGGTGGATACTCAACGATGATCCTTGGTTTGACTCAAGGAACTCGACGATGTCCTCATTGTCGCCCACTGATTTGAGGAGCTCGACGACGTCTCTCAATTGAGATGAGTATTGACATCCTTTATGAAGGTGGACCTCAGAACCTTTGGCGGATACTCGGTGGTGATCCTTGGTTTGACTTGAGGAACTCGATGGTGCCCTCGTTATCGTTTCCTAATTTAAGGAGCTCGGTGGCATCTCCAAATCGAGATGAATATTGTTGACGTCCTTTGTGAAGGTGGATGTGTTGAGATTCATGGATGATGAATCAAGCTTAGCTTTGAAGTTCTGAGAAGTTTTGATGATAACAAAGGCAAGCTAGTCAAGAAAGGAAGACATGAAAGAATACAAAATGTAATAGGGATAGCTTATATGTTCTTATATGTTGTGTTGTCTTGTTGAGTTTATTTTTGCATGTGTATGCTTTGTGCTTGAGTAAATCTTAATCTCAATTGACTAAGAGTGAGTATGATGATGATCTAAATCACTTGGAAATTTTTCTAAACTGTGAAATTTTTTGAAAACTTACTCAAAATAATTGATTATCATTAAAAATAATCTATTATTCCAGCAAGAGGTTTAAGGAACATTGAAGTTTAGCAGAAAACACACAGAACGGGGGGT